ATGTGAGGTTGGACACAGGGGCTTGGAGCAACCTGCTCTAGTGGAAGGTGTCCCTGCCCGTGGCAGGGGTTGGAGCTGGATGAGCTTCAAGGTCCCTTCCAAACCAAACCAGTCTGGGGTTCTGTGATTTTCAGGGCATGGTTGATTTATCTGTGCTTGTCAATACTGTGGTCAGCTGCTGTTAAGTTAAATGATAATAAGGACAGGTTATTACAACTTCTGTAGAGCTACTGAGGTCATTGATTCTCACCATCTAAAGAATCATTAGTGTGTAGAGTTTTTTCCAGCTGAGTGCACTTCCCTGCCCCAAACACACCCATCCTTGAATTAGCACAGCCATTACCAACTGCATAAAAGCCTCCTGACTTGCAGAAGCAGCCCTGGACTTGGGCCAGTGGCAAGTCAGAGAATGCCAGTCAATGCTTTTATCAAAGGACAAGAAAGTACTTACAAGAGAACACAAAATGCTTTTCACACCACCTTGGCTGTTTATCTTCTTTTGCTTGGCCACCTCTAAGCTTAAAGCTGTTAAAGGCTGTTTGTTATGGCATGAGGTAGAGTTGCACAACTGCTTCACCCTTGTGCTGCTCCTAAAGCAATGGGGTAATAATAGAGTAATATTCTACCAGAACAGAAGAATAGAAATAGTTAGGAATCCCGTTAGGTTGTAATGAGGCAGCTTCCTTGTGGCTTTCCATATGCTTTGATTCTGATTAGTTCTTAAAAGCAACCACTTCTAAAGCAGTACTTGCAAGCTGTATAATAGAAGCTTTTGGGAAAGAAGAGAAGGAAAACTTCTCCACCCTGATTAGACCTTTCTTATTTGTGAAGCCCTGTTCATTCACATTCCTGTGACTTCAGGTTCCTTTTGTTTGCAAGAGGCTCATCTATTTCAAAGAGATAAAAGCATCAAGGCAATTGCTGTGGAAAACCTGCCAAGCTGTTCTGCAGGCTTAAATTAATCTTATTTTCTACAAAAGTTGGGACTTGGAAGGTGTTTGTGCAGTGATCATAGTTGGTTGTTGGCCATTCTCTTTGGTAGACTAAGCTTGTAACCATAGACTGAGGTTTTTAGAGCAATAATAATTAAGTGGCATTTGCCTCACTGATCAGAACTGTTTTCTCACAAGTAGTAGTTCAAATTCCTTCCTTCTGAACAAGGAATTGTTTTGGTGGGGTTTGGGGTTTTTTGGGTTTTTTCCAAGCATGATCAAAGCAGTTGCTTGGATGGTTTTTTCCTTTGCTTTTTTCATCTATTTGAACTTGCCAAACTGTGTTACTGTGAGGGGAGTTTGTTGTTTCCATTAAAGATGATTAATGGAATCATGGCCAGGAGGAGCAGGGCAGTGATTGTCCCCCTGTGCTGGGCA